CTGAACACCTTAGATAACAAATGAATTGCCACTTTTAAGGAGATCAAGGATATATATAATTAAATAGACAATGCAGAGACATTCTACTGACTACTTCTAAGTGTCCTCAAAAAGTTCTATTGTGATTGGGTCATTGTGGACAGCAGGAGGTCTGAAATGAACCTCAAACAGACTGGTGATGAGTGGTGATCACCATATTGCCTAGTTTGTCAAATGTGTTCACCCCGGAAACTGGAGGTAGTATCATTGCTCACACCTCTGAGAGGGGTTTACAGACACTGATAATTACTCTACTCTATAATATCTATTTTAAACATATTTGTACAACATTTTAGAGCAAAGATTATACCTCCAATCCGAGGTAGAATCTTGGAGAGGGCAAGTGAGAAGGCAGAAGGACAGTTGCATGAATAGCATATTCAGTTCTTATCCAATTTGCGTCGGACTTTTTGTAGGTCACTCTACCAGTAGTATAGTAGGTATTCCAAGCTATCCGAGGAGATTTGGGGCACTAGAGGACATGCCAGAAGGATGCCATGTCCACCATCAACATTGTNNNNAGAAGGAAGTGTCTTTGGTAACGGAATGGGGGTGTTTCTAGACAGTCTGTCGTCTCGGAGGTGTTGGAATTTGAAGAGGAGATCGTTCCGATTCTGGGACATGTTTCCTCTTGAAGATTGGTGAAGAATTGGGCATCCCATGGGGCAAACAAGGTGATTATAGGTGGAAAACCCGAAATTGGCCACTGCAAGTGCATTTGGCATTATTAACTCCTGTATTCTTGCATGGAGGTGCCTATATGGCTACTATTAACATGTATATTTGTTACAGCTCGCATAAATAGCCTGGGGAATGGGAAATGGAGGGCGCATTTCTGGCTTTTCAGGGGGAGGAGGAAGGGGTGCTTATATTATATTAAAAGGGAGTCTATACCATGCTATGTGATTGTAAATAGTAGCTAGGGCACTGGGTGAGACTGACTGAAAAGTTCTACAGGTCTTGGATAAGAATTGGGGGAGATACAGAAGTTCGCTTTGTGTGATATTGAGGGATGAGGAGTGTTGTAGGTATATCTTTGGAACAAATGAACGCGTGGAGACGCTGAATAGCGCGTTTTATAGCCTTTGATAACCTCTATCTGAACGCATAATGTTTTGGAAGGATAGATACATGTGTGGCATAGAGATCTGAGTGCGCTTTTTCGGTTTTTTAGCACATAAACATCGAAAGGCCCATTGCATAACCAATAATGCATGCAAGGCCATTATTATTGGCTCGTTCTAAAGCTCTAGTAGCATACTAAATTATCGGCTAGTTTTTATAAGTCAGGGATGCATGAGAGGCAGAGCATTAGGTGCGCATTTTCGCATTTTTGTGCATAGAAACACAGTTTAGGCCATAACATCGCCAAAAATGGTCGTATTCCCATGTTCTGGGTGCCTACAGGTAGCTATCAGTTCCCTCAAAATTATCGCGTCATCGTTCCCATCAATTTCCACCCAGGGGGAAGCCAAACGAGCCCGAAATGCGCCAGCAATGGCTATTTTGATGCCAGATCCCAATTTAGCAGCTTGTGCTAAAAATAAACATGCGCCAAGTTAAGGTGACACCTCATACGCGCCGTTTTGCAACATTCCACATCCCAGATTCTCCTGATTTTTTTATGACATACAGTAACATACTATCACATTGGCCCTGGGCACTTTTTTCACAAAAAACGGCCCCAGTTGAGGCTGCAGAGCAAACAGGTCACATGACCAGTTCTCTGCAGTGCCCTGGGGTCCTGCTTGGCCTATCCCGCCCCCCTCCTGCACCTCCCACCACCTGCCCACCCCGGAAATGGATGCTTACTAATTTATTTACCCCCTCCTCATCACCCTTGCAGATGCTGGGCACCCGGCAACCCCTCCCTCTTATTAGGAGAGCCTTCCCAAAGCAGAAGTTAGCATATTGCCCTCCAGGGCTTAAATTCTTAGTTAGGAAACTGCCTTGTATTCTATATTTTTCTAGCCCACATGGCTGTGGCCCTCGCATTCACAATGAGCTTGTCTAGCTATGGGTGCCTATCCTGGGTAGGGTCGTGCTTGTCAAAGCAGAGACGGTCCGCAAAGCGGTCCAGTAACCAATCACCAGGGCAAGCTTCAGGCACAAAGGGCTCAAAGCTCTCAGTTAAGGTGTGGACCTGCTCATCCACCTCCATGACAGTGCTCTTGACTTTCCCTCACATAGCTGGGGTCATCAAGGTCGGCTGAGCAGGCGTGTAGTTTGGCCCGCTTGAGGAGTCTCTTGCCCAACATGGAGCACAGAGGATGAGTGTCCAAGAGGGTGGCAACACGGTACACCGTGCACATTGCCAGCTTCTTCAGCATAAGGTGGACAGGGATGAGACCAGCAAGGGCCTCAAGACCGCCTGTAGGCAAGGTGCAGAATGCACCTGTAATCCATAGAGCAGCTCTTTGCTGCATCCATTTGAGCTGGTTCATGGCACCTTTGTTATGGGCGCCATCAAAGTACCAGAGATGATAGCCATACGTGGCAATGGGGACCACACGGTCTGTAAAGGAGGCGTCACTGTTTAGGCAAGACCTCTGGTGGAATTCCTGAGCATGCGCATGGCTTGCACGGTGGTGAATGCCTTGGTGGCATAGTAGCAAACGTGCTCATGGAATGTGAGCCCGCGGTCAAAGTAGAAGCCCAAGTACCTCCAATAGGTTTTGGGCTTCAAGGGTGTAGCGCCAGTATGCGGGGCATACCCCAGATCAAGCAAAGGATTATAGGCATCGCGTCAATGCGAAAAGTGAAACAGCTCGGTCTTGTTGTGTTCAAGGACGAGTGCAAAAGCAACAAATAAGAGGTAGATAATTTTATAGGCCTTACACAGGCCCACATTATTATCATCAAGTTGTTTGGACTGGGCCAAGATAGTCCCATCGTCCATAGAAGGGAAGAACTGCGCAATGTCAAAAGCCAGCGCACTAGTCTGGAGACCCTTAACCCACCCCACTCGCACGAGATGAGTCAGAATCAACCCAGCATCCTTGGTCGACCTCTGGCAAATGCCGCCAACCTGGTTTGGATGGAAGATATCATGCTTGACAGCGTCAAACTGTATCCTATTGGCAATCATCTTTTCGATAAGTTTACCAAAAGTGATGAGGAGTACTATAGGCCTGAAAGCCTTTGGGACTGGATAGGAGGGCTTGTTCAGCTTCGGGACAACAGTGACTCCTTGAATATATGTGGCCAATGACCCACCTGAAGGCAAGCGTTGGCCAACACGATGAAGAGCACAAGGACATGTTTATCCTTGAGCAACTCCTTTAGGTGGACCCATGTGACATGGTCTGGTCCTGGTGCAGAGGAGTTGGAGCACCCCTTAAGGGCGCTCAACAACTCATGCTCCGAGAAGTCAGCCCAAGGGTTGAAGGCCTTTGCTGATACTTATGTCAGATGAATGAATGAATACATAATGTTCATATTTAACAAAAGAAAAAGCTAGATACAATTAAATTATGGTACAGACAATAGAATAGGGGGGAGGTCACAGAGGCAAAATGAGCACGAACGACCCTGAATGTTGCAGTTCGGGCTGGTTTGTGCACCAGGGGTGTCGTTGGATGGCCCCTGGGGGTGTTGGATGGAGGGCAAGGGGGTGGGGGTGGGGTGAACCAGGCAGGCGGCAGCAAAAAAACAAGTGCGAACGACCCCGAACGTCGCAGTTTGGGGTCGTTGGCACACTTTTTTTATTTTTTTTATTTTTTTTATCAACAATTTATATAGTGGTGCTCGATGGCAGGCCGCTCGCTATCTACAAACATGCACGCTACACAGCCTGGGTACTAAGTTAACTACTTAAAGACGACCGCCCCCCCAATCAAGACCCTTTGGGCTCAAACACTGAAACTCCCCAGAGGGCAACCCACCTCAGGAAAACAGTGCATCAGGATAAGGGGAGGAAACCATCAAGGTTCCGCTACGCCCCAAAGTCGTCGATCACTGTTCGGAGGCCACGCAGCGCGAATGAAAGAAAAACAGCACCACCCGGGAGGTGGCAGGGTGTCTTGAGGCCGACAAGCCAGAGATGCGCCTGCCCGAGACCAGACGCAGAGAGTTAGCGGTGTCGCAACCCGCTATAATAGCGGACCGCAAGCGTGAAGAAATAGTTACGGGTGCAGGTCTCCAAACCCTAAGGTTCGAGGGTGTCAATTCACCGATAAATCCTCCAAAAGGAGGAATAACCCCGCCCGCAGCAATTATCTGACCCCCAAAGGGTCTGGGGTGAAGCCAAACGCCGTGGGGTTGTACTTCATAAAAGATGCAATATCCCCAAGAAAGCGGGGGTAATGCACGGAGTAGCGATCGCGACAGCGAAAGAGGACATGCTGGCGGGACTGCAAAGCAGCCCCGCAAGTGCAGCCATGAGGCTCATTGATCTTGAAGCGATGGTAATACGCTCCAATGGGTGTGTGGCCAGTTATACACCGGCAAACGCGAGCGAACTCAGTGATACTGTGTCTGAATGTTGAGAGCCAAGGTCCCCTATTGAGGTACGATGGCTGTAGCGGCCACCTGTCAGGCTGTTGAAGCTCTAAAAATTCAGAGCCTCGGTAGGTTGGATCCTGGAAAGTGGAGTTCCACGAATCCAGGACGGAGTGCGCGGCTTGGGAGCGTAGCGCGTCTATAGAGTTGTCCATCTTGCGATGTCCAACCCTGACTTTGAGTTCGGTGATGTACTTGTGTGCCTCACCATGGATATCCCACCACAAAGCGGATGGGACATAGACGAAGGTAATGCGGCGGAGATCATCCGCCTCAAACCACTCTTGGAGAGCGTGACAAACTGACAGGCTAAAAGCCTGACCAGAGTGCACGGGGGTCGTTGGCACACCAGGGGCGTCGTTGGACGGCCCCTGGGGGTGTTGGATGGTGAGAGGCAGCGGCGGG